TGAGGGACCTGGGGGTGCTGAGCCTGGAGCAAAGGAGGCACAGCTCCCTGACAGGAGGCTGGAGCCAGGTGAGGGTCGAGCTGTTCTCCCAAGGAGCAAGGGTCAGGACAAGAGGAAGCAGCCTCAAGTTGCAGCAGGGGAGGTTGAGGTTGGCCCTGAGGAACAATTTCTTCCCCTGGAGGGTTGTCCAGGCCTGGAAGAGGCTGCCCAGGGCAGTGGTGGGGGATATGGGGGAAGAGAGAACTTGGAGCATCCCTTTGGCAGCCTGGATTGACGTAGCTGTAATCTGAAATGTCACTGTCACCCATAAGGAGTTTGGTTTTTCAAATGCAGTCTCTCTTGCATTAGGAATGCTCTTAGCTGCCACCTGCGTGGTCTATGCAGAAGATTGTCTGGTGGAGCAATAAGAGAACTAGGACAGTCCACCTGAGAGCACCCCAGTTACCTGTTTAGTGCTGCTCATACCAAGGTTGGCAGGATCTGCTCTTCTTCACCATCATGTCACTGGGGGCTGCATTTACTTCATCAAAACAAAATCATAAAATCATAGCATCACAGAATCATGGAGTGGTGTGGGTTGGAAGGGACCTTTCAAGGCCATCAAGTCCAACCCCCTGCACTGAGTGGGGACATCTGCAACTAGAGCAGGTTGCTCAGAGCCCCGGCCAGCCTCACCTGGTATGGTTCCATTCCATTTCACTCATTTGATTAATTGGCTGCAATTTTGTCACTTCCAAATCACATGAGCACACAAAAGTTAGCATGTATGTTAGGAAGAGTTTATTACCAGATTCTAACATTTTTTTGATCACATTCACCTAATGATTTAACTCTTAATGCCAAACTAATCACTTGGCTTGTCAGGAGGAGGACAGAGCTGATGGGGCATCTCTCAGGACATCACAGCTGAAGCCACATTCACCTCCACGCAAGCAGAAGTAGTTTTACTGCTGCATACAGGTGGTACCCACAGGGTTCTCTGCTCTGTTCCCAAATCCTTCACTTCTCTGGGAAATCCTCGTGCATTAAATCCCACAGTTACCCCACAGGGACAGCTCTAGCACATTCTTAGCCGAGCATCTTGAATGGTATCACACTTTGAACGATAATGGCCAACTCGCTGTTGTTATTTTTACTAAAGGAGAGAGTTTTCCTTTGTAACAGAGTATTTTAGGCTGCATTACAAGTGTTTTGGGTTTTGTTTTTTTTACTGTGGTAAAATATATTCAAGGCATTGCTTAGGGCATTTATCGTGGGCTTACAGTAACGTACACTGACGTTACACCTTCTCTTTGTAGAGCAAGCCACCCTCGTAGAGCAAGTGAAACGAGTGAAAGAAATTGAAGCTATTGAAAGTGACTCCTTTGTTCCGCAGACATTCAGATCAAGTAAAGAAGTCAAAAAGGTAAGTTTTCAATATCCTTTCTTGGTGTAGAATCCTTTCAAAGTCAGGTGGAAGCTGCGCTATTAATACAGTTTCCATTGATGAAAGAGCATCAACATTGACAGTCTTTAATCCCACCACTGACTCTCCTGTGTTCTGAGTGTGGTGTTCGAAGAGGAATACATTGAAATGTGTAAGAATTTCACTGAAATCAGCTGTTTTGACAGTATATTCCACCTATGCTGAGCAACTTGTATAAAACTGTGAAGTTTGTTTTGTTTTTTTTTTTAAGGAAAAGCAGGAGTGTTAAAATCCAAAAGTAATCAGATATTTACATTGTAGTTAAAGGTAGAATTCAGTATTTTTATTTCCGTTTAACTGAAGCCAGACTTGAACACCATATTTACTCCCTGACAGAAACCAGCATTGCATTCAGACAGCTTTTTGAAAACCTGCCGTTGAGACATTGAGGTTTGAGAATTTTACCTGCTTTTGGCTGGGAAGTCTTCCAGGGAACTTGGATCCTTTTGTCTTTGGAAGTACACAAGCGAAGGGTTTGTTCAGACTCTCTATCTGACAGAGAGTGGTTTGAATCATCACTTTGTGTCCCCTGGAACAAGCGTTTTCTTTCCTTTTCAGAAGTCTCCGAGAAGTTTGTGTGTTCTTCAGAAAGTGATCCAAAACCCCAAAGCCACGGCTCTGCAAGCTCCTACATTGCCTTTGGAAATACCTTTTTTTTTTTTTCACTTCATCTGTGTGTTTCTTCTTAGTCAACAGAACCTACAGAACTACAATATGAACCTGTAACTGTCAGAGCGGGAACTGTTGATGTGTCTGCTTCTGTAAAAGAGCCACCACCTGCCAACATCCCTACTGCCATCAAATATCAAGATGATAATTCTTTAGCTCATCCAAACGTAAGTGCACCAATATTTACTTTATCTTCAGAACAAGGCAGCCCATTGAGTGGGAGCAGGTTCACGTGGCCCCACAACCATTTTGCTGTGCTGCTCATCAAAGAATCTAGGCTCTGGAGACCATCAGCTAATGGGCCACTCAGGAGCTCAGAACAGATCACACTCCTTGCCTCATCCACCTGAGAATAATTACAAAAATAATTCTCTGGTGATGTAGTTTTAGAGTTACAAACTTATAACAACGTAGCATACTCATTTAATGCTGGGGCATTTAAGATCATGCTCATATAAAAATTCCTGTTCAATAAAAATTCAGGACAAATTGCTTTTGGTTTCTGTGGTGGGAAACGTGGTGGAAGACTCAGAACTTGCCAAATGACAAAGCTTTAAATAGATGACAGACTTCAGATAATTTTAGATTGTTGTGGCTCAACTTATGCAAATTCCTTTGTAAGCACTTGTACTTGGAGATGGGAGTACTTAGGAGAGTTTTTTTTAAGAATTAGTGAGTAAAAAATTATTTGCAGTAAATAAACTAATGTGCGAGGTCTGTGTAATGAGCAGCACTAACGAAGGCCAAGACCTGTACAATAGGATGAACTTTCTGTTTGAGGAGGAGGCCAAAATGGGACTGTTTTGGCTTTCCAATGATTAAAAGCCTCTCTGTAAATGTATTTATATTACCTTTGTATTTTAACAGGCCTCTGCAGCTGGGCTTTTTCTTGGGGCACTGATGTAGTCGATGTGTATTTGAACGGATTATGACAAATAAAGAGAAAGCTAATGAGCTGTACCCACTTTTCTCCCTGTGCCTCTTGTCTCTCAGCTGTTTATCGAGAAGGCAGAAGCAGAAGAGAAGTGGTTCCAGAGGCTGATTGCTCTTCGGCAGGAGAGGCTGATGGGCAGCCCAGTGGCCTGAGCAACCTGCGCTGACCACCCCATGCAGGTTCTCCATGAATCTTACCATTAAATTGGTTTATTTTTCTCTTTTGAAGGGATTTTAATGCTAAGTACAAGTTGTACAGAGAATAAATATTTCACCTGAATAAACAGGAATGTTCTATCGTCCATTTTTCTCCCAAACTCATTGCTGGGTGACGTGTGTCACTGAGCTACCTGCCGTAGGTGGACAGCTCGCAGAGCAGAGTCGTTTACTTTTTTTTGTACTGAATTCCTCTGGAGTGCAGAAAAACAACTGGCAACCCAAAGAGATGGGATTTTATACCTCCCAATCAAAAAAAATATATATAACCATGTAGCAGTTTAAAGATAAATGACAAAATAAGACTATCAAAGAATGTTCAGCTTTACCAGCGCTCAGACAGCAGGAGCTCGAGGGATGCCACCCTGGGCCATGACATCCTCTGCAGCCCTTCCGGAGGATTTGGGGCAAAAGGTATGACACTTAGCTCTTCTCCCTTCCATTCCATGCTGTGGGAGTGGCTTTTGAATCCCCAACATCTGTGGACAGTGTCTGGCTGAGGGGCTCTTCTAAATGGACACGTTCACCCACCTGCTCCAGCTTCTGGATCCTCACTTTGGGGGCCTTGAGTGGAAAGGGAATGTTCTACATTTCCTCCAACATCTGCCCACTACTGTCAGTATCCAGGACTAGATGTAAGGAAAATGTGATGTTATCCTGTTAAACAAAGTTGTAAAGTTGTCAGCAGGTTTCAAGAAACATTTTTTGAGCAATTTTAAGCACATTAAAACTTTTGGTAATCTGTAAAAGACAGCTTTCTAAGAATTAATGGGAAATCATATAAATATGACTGTGTAATAGCACAGACCTTTGTTGAATGGGACTAATAGCAACACTATTTCTGCACAGAATGACTGCTTTCAGGCTGTGAAGCTGTTGTTTGCCTGGGTGTGACTTTAAAATAATGAAAGATTAGTCCTATTTGAACATAGCAAATTTAGCCCGAGTATACTTACCAAAAAATGTGTCCATCATCCAACTAAATCCCAGACACCGAACAAATAAAATACAAAATATTTCCTCATAGGTATCTACCAAATGTGTGAGAAAACACCTACCTCAGTAGCAGACTAAACTGAGCGCCCCTCACTGGACACAGCTCACTGGAAATTACCTGCATCAGCTTTTCCATGGGAGTAAGGAAATTCATAAGGCTTTTTTTTTAGTGTTATTTTCCCTTGTTTTCAGATCTGTAGTGAAAAAAAAACCACATGGAGAATGATTCTGGAAATGTATTTTGGTTGTCTTACTTGGTTTAGATCACTGATGTAAAAGGAAAATGTAGTAAATTTTCATTCTAATGCATTTTTACTTTTTCTTTATGAACAGTGTTAGTTTTACTTGGCCCTTCATTAAAATGGCTGTTTCCAGACTACTGCAACAAAAAGTGGGGAAAAAATTTGTTTCCCTTGTTTCATTTCAGCATTTCCAAATGGTAAATATTTGTCATTGTTCTGTTTTCTAATCTCCTTCTGTGTCTCTTTCATAGTAAATAAAAAACTGTTTGATCTCCATGTAAGGTACAGGCGTAAATTCCTCTTTTTCACACATTATGTTGGATTATTTTTATTGGATGCAAAATGATTCCTTTTATGGACTTCACAACCCTAGGGGATATTAGAAAATTATACAAACTGGTCTAAGTAAATAAGAGTTAGTGATAAAAATGGGGTGCACTGACTATTGCTGGTCAATAAACAATGGATTTTTTCCATGCCAGAGGAGAATTCTGAGCAATATCTAGAAAGAATATGAAAATAGCATTTAGATAATCTGAACTGAACAGAAATATGTACAGAAATATGCCAAACATAATTTGAAACACAGAGAAAATTGTTATAAAGTTGATTTTTATCGTTCAGCTGCAGATTAGTGATCAAGATAACCAATAAATAATTACTTGGACCTCCAGTTTTCAGGAAATACGGAACATGTTTACTGCCCCAGCGTCTGTGTGGAGACTGTTTAAGAAAAGGGGGTTTCTGCTTTAGGCCCTGTTGTCATTTTAGTGACATAGTTTAATGGTGACCTGGTAGTGCTGGGTTAATGGTTGGACTTGATGATCTGATGATCTTGAAGGTCTTTTCCAACGGTCATGATTCTGTTCATTATACACACTTGAAGTTTATGAAGTTGGGGTGTTGGGAAATTGTCAGGATGGAGTTCTTACCTCGATCCCATCTGCTACAAATCAGAAATAATACTGTCCATGTTGTCACAAACCTCCAAGTTCATGCGACAGAGATTTCTGGAGATGCCTGAAGCGGGTCCGTGATGCTCAAGTGTGTCCTGGGGAGCTGACCAGTGACCTCCACAACGCACATGAGTTTTAGCCTTACTGCCGTTTAGTCTGCAGCCGAAACCTTCAGCAAAAACAGACACTGCTCTACCGTGTTTAATCCTGGCGAGTGAAAAACAGGTTGTGTAAGGGCAGCCCAGGGGGGTTTAAGTGGAAATGTTTAGACTGTGGCACTCTCCATTCAAGTTGCGTAAACTGCTTCCTTATTTTGCTTTTCCTCCAAGAGCCTTCTGTGACAGGTTGTTCGTTTGCCTGTCAAAGGTAGGGAGGTATTTGAGTGTTCAGGAGGCAGCAACATCACAGATGAACTTCCCCTGTAACCAGCTATGCACAACTATAGAGAATTTTGACAAACTTACTGCTTAAAGTTCTTTTACAAGTTTTGGACATGTTATAAATGGGTTGTAGCTAAACAGACGTACACTCACTATTCTATGTGGGGCTTTTTTTTGCCTGGGGAAGAGATCACAAGTGTTACCTAATCAGCCAGGCACAGATTTAATTAATGGTGTCATAACAGGGCCACGAATCCCATGTCAGTGTGTACAATTAACCAGCATTAAGCTGGGAAAATGCACTGCTGACTCACGCCACGCTTCGCCGGAGCCAGAAAAAGAGTGGCACCTTTTCACAATATTTCAGAGAAACGTAGAAACATATCCTCCTTTCTTAGTTATTTTGCTTCTAAAGTCTTCTGATGTTCTCACATGTAGCACTGAGGATTCTTGCCTATGGAAATTTTGTTTATTTTGTTGTATTTTCCGCTTTGCTTCATGCTCCTGGTGAAAGGGAACAGGTTCCTGGTGAAAAAAGGGAAAGAAAAGGCTGTTATCCAGCTGAAACACAGGCTGTGTTTTGGAGCCTGCAGGGACAGCAGGGACACAGTTTTGTCATTCAGGACTCCGATACAATCAGCTCTAATGCCAAGTTCCTGCTAATGCCAAACTACCTTAAATCCGAGTGGGCAAATGGTGTGTGGGAGGGAAAAGATAATGGTGTAACTTGAGCCAGGCAGAGTTCTGGCAGTCAGCAAAGACCTCTACCCCAGAAATCACATTAGCAAATGCATTTCACTTAGCCTGCGGAACAGCCACCCTCAATTAACATCAAACCAGGCTGATTTGGATTTGATAACTTTTAGGTAAAGCATTCGCTGCCCCTTTCTGATTTCTTGACTCATTCAGCGTCTCCACAACTATTTTTCCTTATGGGAACTGCTTGAAAGGAAGCTGCATTTAGCTTTTCAATTATGATTATCGTTACAACGTTTTAGAAAGATTTTTGCTACTAAAATAAAGGTATTGAAGAAAATCCTGCCAGGCAGGATATCAGATGTTGCCACTCCTGCTTCCGTCGCTCTGCTGTGAGCAGGACTGGATGATCCCACAGGCCGTTTTCCGTCAGTAACCCAAAACCAACCTTCTCCATGATTACTGTTTTCCATTTGTCAGGTTACAAGAAGGAAGTTATTTTTAGTGGAGATCCTTGAACTCTAGAAACCTGTTTGGGGCGAGATCAGCTTGAACCCATGAGTTAATCCACATATGACACGGAGCTGTGGCAACTCCTCAGCTGGCAGTAAAAGCAGTGTTGGAAGTAATAAAAGCTCGTAATAAAAAGCAATGCTAGAAGTATTATTACTCCAGAATTTAAAATACTCACCGTTTGTAATTTTGCATCGATGCAGCATTGCCCAATTCTTTTTTTTTCCCTGACTGTTCCCTCCCCTCTTTTGCTAAGACCTAGGAAAGAAGAGTAGCAGTGGCTGGGCTGGATTATGTGACGCTGAGGAGCAAGACTTGGACACTGAGTCACTCTGGAATTGCTGCTCCAGGGTGAGCTGCCACACGATCCAACTGCCCTTTCTGGAAGGAGGCTGGAGCTGAAGCTCAGCCTGAGGAGGGGAGGAGGGAGCTCAGGGCCAACCCCAGCACTGAGCTGGGCTTTGCTGAGCCCGGCTGCCCCCAGCAAGGTGAGCTGGAAACGGTTACACCACCATTTCAACCCATGTGACAACAAAAATCACTGCTTGGCTGTTGTTTTGCTTCTTCGGGAACCCGGAAGAGATGGGGCTGTGTGGCTGCAGGGAGAGTAACAATCCCAGGAGCCTTTCAGCCCTTGAGCATCGTTTTTGAACGCATTGTTTGGGAAAATTTAAAAGGTGTCATCTCTGCTGAGCTGCTGTGGTACAAATCTGGTTCCCACTAGATGTCTCTGCCGTCCCAGCGCAGTTGTCACCCTGAGCACCAGTGGCTGTCTGGAAAGGCTGCAGAGATGAGATGCAGGGAGGCTGAACTGGCCTCCTCTGCAGTCAGGGTAAGGAGGCAGAGCCCTTTGTCTCATCATCTCCTGTTGCCTTACAAGCTTTTCAAATAAAAATTACTGCTTGAAAGGGGAAGCTCCAAATATTTGCTGCCTATTCAGCGTGGTCCCTGGGTGCTGCCTGGATTCCCACCTTACAGTTCTGAAAGGAAGGCAGAAATAAACCTTATTAATGATTGTTAATTCATCAAATGCAGCTAATGTTTTTCAAAATGTCAAACTACATTTTCGGATGCCTTTGCAGTGAATTTGTTTGGTTTTTTTAATATATATATATTATTGTCTTATTTCAGTATTTATACAAGTTACAGAGCTG